GGTCCCTTTGCAAGCCCAATATCTGCACTGGGGAGAGGGGACATTTGAGGGTCACCTCACCCAGAGGTGGCAGCTTTAGTGGTCCCTTTGTCCCCCCCAGTCCGTGCCCCAGGGGGAGGGAGAGATGATGTGGGGAGCAGGGAGGACCCGACATCCCGTGGTGGGTTGGGGTCCCTTCACAACCGACACCTCTGCTGGGAAGAGGGGACACCCGGGAGTCCCCACACCAGAGCTGGTGGCCTTGGGGGTCCCCTTGTCCCCCCACGTTGTGCTGTGGGGGTGTCCCTGGGGAAGGTGATGCAGGGGACAGGGAGGACCCGGTGTCCCTTGGCTGGGAGGGGGGACACGCCCACCCCCCCCGTGTTGGGGACAGCGTTGAGGTTCCCCGGCCCCTCACCCCCGTGTCCCCCCCCGGCAGAGCCTGGCTCGGGGTCCTGCAAACCGCGCCCCCCCTGCACGGACAAGGATTTCTTCTACACCCACACGGCCTGTGACGCCGGCGGGGAGGTACCGCGGGGACCCCCGGGGCGGCCCCCCCCGTCCCCTGTGGGTGTCCCCTGCGGGTGTCCCCCCCCTCACGCGCTGCCCCGGCAGACGCAGCTGATGTACAAGTGGGCAGAGCCCAAGATCTGCAGCGAGGAGCTGCCGCAGGCGGCCCGGCTGCCGCCCTCGGGGGGGCAGGTCGCGGTGCCCCCCCTGCAACCCCGGCTTTGCCAAGGGCGCCGGGGGCTCCTGCCAGCCCTGTCCCCGCGGCTCCTTCTCCAACGGCTCCGGTAAGGCCGCCTCGGAGCGTCCCCGGGGGGCAACAGGGACACCCCGAGCTGCCGGTGGGAGGGGTTGCCGTCCTGGGGGCAGGGCTGTCCCCTCCTGTCCCCATCACTGTCCCCAGGGGGGGTTACCGGGGCACCCCGAGCTGCCGGGCAGAAGGTGGGTGCCACCCCAGGGTGGGGTTGTCCCCTCCCGTCCCCATAGCTCCGCTAAGGATGTCCCTGTCATTGTCCTCAAGGGGCGACCAGGGTCCCCAGAGCTGCCGGGGGAAGGGGCTGTCCCCTCCTGTCTCTATAATTGTCCCCAAGGGATGACCGGGGTCCCTAGAGCTGCCGGGGGGCAGGTGGGGGTGCCACCCCGGTGCAGGGCTGTCCCCTCGTGTCCCCAGCCTGCCTGTCGTGCCCGCCGGGCACGGAGCCCGCGCTGGGCCTGGAGTACAAGTGGTGGAACGTGCTGCCCCCCAACATGGAGACCACCGTGCTCAGCGGCATCAGCTTCGAGTACAAGGGTGTCGCAGGTACAGGGGGCCGTCTCCTCCCTGTCCCCTCCCTGTCCCCTCCCCGGGCACAGCCGGGGCCCCACAAGCGCCGCCGCGTCCCCGCAGGCTGGGAGGTGGCCGGGGACTTCATCTACACGGCGGCCGGAGCCTCGGACAGCGACTTCATGATCCTCACGCTGGTGGTGCCGGGCTTCAGGTGAGGGGGTGTCCCCGCGGCCGGGGGGCGCGGCCGTGCGGCGGGGCTGGCAGTGTCCCCACGCTGTCCCCACGCTGTGCCCAGCCCTCCCAGCCCGGTGCTGGAGGACACGGAGAGCCGGGAGGTGGGAAGGATCACCTTCGTGTTCGAGACCGTCTGCAGCGTGGGCTGCGAGCTCTACTTCATGGTGGTGAGTGGGGGCACTTTGGGGGGTCACCCCGGGTTTGGGGGGGTCACCCCGGGTTTGGGGGGGTCACTGCTGTCACAGTGTCCCCATTCATGGTGGTGAGCGGGGGGCACTTTGGGGGGGCGCCCCGGGTTTGGGGGGGACACCGTGACAGTGGCATCCCCCATTCATGGTGGTGAGCGGGGGCACACGTATTTAGAGGGGTCACACTGGGTTTGGGGGGGACACTGTGACAGTGGTGTCCCCAAAGTGAAACACCCCAGGGATGTGTCCCTCTCTCCCAGCAGGAGATGGGGGGGTCACCCTGGGGGTCCCCAAACTCGGGGTCCCCAGTGTCCCTCCCCCAAACCTGGGCACAGCCAGGGTGACACCCCAAAGTTGAGGACACGGTGACAGTGGTGTCACCAAAGTGAAACACCCTGGGGATCAGCCCCTCCTCACCAGCAGGAGAGGTTTGGGGCACCTTGGGGGTCCCCAGAGCCCCTCCTCAGGGTCCCCAGTGTCCCTGCCGGCAGAGAGCCTTTGGGACACGCAGGGGACACTGTGGCTGTCCCCGCAGGGTGTGAACTCCCGCGCCACCAGCCCGGTGGAGACCTGGAGGGGCTCCACGGGCCGACGGTCCTACACGTACGTGGTGCAGCACAACGGCACCCTGAGCTTCACCTGGGCCTTCCAGCGCACCCCCTACCACCAGCCGGTGAGGGCTGGGCAGGGGGTCCCCTCATCCCTTTGGGGGGTCCCAGGGTGTCCCCCCTTCCCTTGGGGAGGGCCTGGGGGGGTCCCATCTTCCTTAGAGGGTTTCCTGGGGTGTCTCCTCTTCCCTTTGGGGGGTCCCCTCTTCCCTTTGAGGGTCCCAGAGGGACCCTTTTCTGGGGGTCCCAGGGGTGTGCCCTCCTCCCTTTGGAAGTCCCAGGAGTGTCCCCTCCTCCCTTTTGGGACATTCTGAAGGCCAAGGGAATCCCCAAACAGTGGGAATTACTGCCCTTTTCCCTGTTGCCATCCACTGGGACACTCCCGCCCAGGGGTCACTCCTGCCCAGAGGATACTCCAGGGGCCACTCCAGGGGCCACTCCCGCCCCGGTGACACTCGTGTCTCCCGCAGGGACGGCGCTACACGGGTGACGTGGCCAAGCTGTACAGCGTCAACGTCACCAACGTGCTGGGGGGGGTGGCCTCCTTCTGCCGCCGCTGTGCCCCCCAGCCCGCGGGCCCCTGTGCCCCCTGTCCCCCCGGCAGCGCCCTGGACCCCACAGGGACCTGCCAGCCCTGCCCCCCCGGCACCATCCTGCGGGGACCCCCCTCGGGAGGGACCCCCTCGTGCCACCCCTGCGGGCCCGGCACGCGCAGCAACCAGGTGGGTGTCCCCAGGGGTCCCCCGGGGGCGGCACTGGGCAGTTCCAGGAGGGTGACACTGTCATGGGTGGGTGGCACCAGGTCCCCCCGGCCGTCCTGGCTGGGTGACACTGCCTGAGTGGTGATGTCAGCCCCCCTCAGCTGTCCCCAGGGAGGTGAAAGTGTCTGACTCTGGGTGGGTGACACCAGTCCCCCCCCCGGCCATCCCGGGTGGGTGACAGGGTGGGTGACAGGGTGGGTGACAGGGTGGGTGACACTAGCTCCCTCGGCCATCCTGGGTGGGTGACACTGCCTGGATGGGTGATGCCAATCCCCAACTGTCCCCAGGGAGGTGACACCAGCCCCCCTGGCCATCTCAGGGAGGTGACAGGGTGAGTGTGGGGTGGGTGACCCCGAGTGGGTGACATTTTATGACCCCAGTGGGTGACACCACATGTCCCCTGTCCCTGAGGGGCGGTGCCAGCTCCCTGTGATGCCCACAGGGGTGTCCCTGGTGGGTGCCACATCCACCCCTGAGCCCCCTCTCCTTGTCCCTGTCCCTCTGTCCCTGACCACTATCTCTGTCTTTGACCCCTTGTCCCTGTGTCCCTGTCCCTTGTCCCCATGCTTCTTTCCCTGTCCCCATCCCGGTCCCTGACCGTGTCCTCGTCCCCAGCTGCACTCCCTGTGCTACAACAACTGCAGCCTGTCCCTGTCCCTGCCCGGCCGGACGCTGCTCTACGAGTTCCCTGCACTGGGCGCGGGGCTGGGGGTGGGCACCGGGCCCAGCTTCACCCCCAAGGGGCTGCGCTACAGCCACCGCTTCCAGCTCAGCCCCTGCGGCCACCAGGTGAGGCACGGCCGGGACACGGCTGGGCACGCGGGACGGGGGGCACAGAGAGAGAGGGGCACGAGAACACACGTGTGCACACAGGGGAACACAGAGAGGAGGGCACGGGAACACGTGTGCACACATGGGAACACAGAGAGGAGGGCACGGGAACACACGTGTGCACACATGGGAACACAGAGAGGAGGGCACGGGAACACGTGTGCACACATGGGAACACACCCTGCTGTGTGTGCCCCGTGTGCCCCGTGTGTGCCAGGCATGTGCCAGGCGTATGCCAGGCATGTGCCAGGCGTGCCACATGTCCCCAGGGCAGGAAGAAGGCCTCGTGTGCCGACTCGGTGCCGCAGGGCCGGGGGGGGGCCCCCACCCGCCGGGTGACGTCCTACGTGTGCCAGGCCATTGTCGTACCCCCCAATGGTGCCGGGGCCCGCGGGGCCGTGTCCTCCCAGCCCGTGAGCCTGGGGGACACCCTGCTGGGTGAGGGACACTGGGAATGGGAATGGGACACCCTGCTGGGTGAGGGACACTGGGAATAGGACACTGGGAATGGGAATGGGACACCGGGAATGGGAATGGGACACCCTGCTGGGTGAGGGACCAGGAATGGGACACTGGGAATGCAATACTGGGAAGGGGAATGGGACACCCTAGTGGGTGAGGGACTGGGATACTGGGAATGGGCCACCTTGGGGGACACCCTGTTGGGTGAGAGATACTGGGAATGGGATACTGGGAATGGGGCACCCTGGTGGCACTGGGACACCCTGGTGGGACAAGGACGCCTCGGCGATGCTGGGACACCCTGGTGTGACTGGGGACACCCTGGTGTGATTGGGGACACCCCTGGCACTTGTTGGTGGCCCGGGGACACCACAGGGACGGCCCCATGTCCCCCCAGGTGTCACCACCAGCGCGGTGCTGGACGGCGTCGTGTCCCCCCCGGAGCTGTTCCCGGGCAGCCACCCCGACCTGCCCGACGTCATCTTCTTCTTCAGGTGGGGGCAGGGATGGGGGGGACACCCCCCCGTGTCCCCAGTGTCCCCCTGACCCCCTGTGTCCCCTGGCAGGTCCAACGATGTCACACAGCCCTGCACCAGTGGCAGGGCCACCACCCTCCGCCTGCGCTGTGACCCCCTGAGCCCCCCCAGTGGCACCCTGGCTGTCCCCAGGTGGGGGGGACACTGGGGACCCCGGGGGGGGGCTTTGGGGACCCCCAAGGTGACCCCACCATTTCCTGCTGGGGTGGGCTGGTCCCTGGGATGCTTCACTTTGGGGACACAGGTGTCGTGATGTCCCCAACCTTGGGGCATCACCCCAGCTGTCCCCAGGTGTGGGGGGGGACACCGGGGATGCCGAGGGGGTTTGGGGACCTCCAGGGTGACCCCCACACATCACCTATAGAAAGGGACACATCCTCGGGGTGCTTCACTTTCGGGACACCCCTGTCACGGTGTCCTGAGCGTGGGGTGTCACTATGGCTGTGTCACTGGCACCCTGGCTGTCCCCGGGGGGGGGGGGGGGGGGACACATTGGGGACCCCAAGGGGGGCTTTGGGGACCCCCAGGGTGACCCTATATCTTGTGCTGGCAAGGAGCCTGTGGTGCTTCTCTTTGGGGACATCTCTGTCACCATTCCCCCATCCTGGGATGTCACCCCAGGTGGAGGAGGGGACATTGAGGACCCGCGGGGGGGGCTTTGTGGGCACCCCCAAGGTGACCCCCCCATCTCCTGCTGGCAGAGAGGGACATGACTGGGCTGCTTCACTTGGGGACCCTCCTGCTCCAATCCCCGCCCCCCCCCGCGGTGTCACCCTGTGGTGTCACCGCCACTGACCCCCCTTGTCCTCCCCCAGCAAATGCCCCGAAGGGACATGTGACGGCTGCACCTTCCACCTGCTGTGGGTGTCCCCCCAGGGCTGTCCCCGCTGCGCCCCCTCCCACTACCGGGCCATCCCCGGTGCCTGCATTGGGGGCGTCCAGGTACGGGACCCCCACCCCAAGCCCCTTCTCCCCCTCCCCAGAAACCCACCCACCCGCCTGGGCTGTGGGACCCCCACCCCACTGAGCCCCCTGTTCCCCCTTCCCCCAAAACCATCCCCGCATGGAGGGGTCTGGTCCTGCCCCAGCGCCGGGGAGGGGTGGGTTTTAGGACCCCCTAAACCCCATTAAACCCCCTTTTCACCCCCAGAAACCCACCCGCATGTGGGGGCCCCGTGGCTGTGCTACAGGATGGGCTTTGGGACCCCCTACCCCATTAAACATCCTTTCCCCCTCCTCACAAAACCACCACCGCGTGGAGGGGTCCCGATCCCGCCCCAACGCCACGGGGGTGGGCTTTGAGACTCCCCACCCCATTAGACCCCGTTTCGCCCCCCAGAAACCCCCGTACGTGTGTGGGGAGCTGCAGCTGTGCCACAGGATGGGGTTTGGAACCCCTAAACCCCATTAAACCTCCGTTCCCCACCCCATGAAACCAACTACACATGGTGGGACCCGAGGGGGGGGTCTAGGTCCCTCCTCGATGCCACGGAGATGGCTTTGGGGACCTCTAACCCCATTAAACATCCTTTCCCCCCCATTAAACCACCCACGTGTGGAGGGGTCCCAGTCCCGCCCTGACGCCACGGGGGTGGGCTTTGAGACCCCCTCATCCCATTAAACCCCTATTTCCCCTTCCCCATAAAACCACTGCCATGTGGCAGGGGTCTAGCTCCCTCCCTGCCCCACGGGGGTGGGTTTTAGGACCCCCTAAACTCCATTAAAGCCCCTTCCCCCTCCCCAGAAAACCACGTACGTGTGGCGGGAGCCGCGGCTGTGCCACGGGGGGGTTGCGCTGCCCCCGCAGGAATCGCGGCCGTGCCGGAGCGTGGATTTTTGGCTCAAAGTGGGAATTTCCACGGGCACGGGCCTGGCCGTGCTGCTGGCCGCGCTCGCCGCCTATTTCTGGAAGAAGACCCAAAAGTGAGCGATGGCCGCAGGGCTGGGGGGGGGGGTCACTGTCGCTGAGGGGGTGATGGCACCTCCCGCATTCCCAGGCTGGAATACAAGTATTCCAAGCTGGTGATGGACGCGGCGGCGCGGGAGGGAGAGGCGGCGTCCCCCGACAGCTGTGCCATCATGGAAGGCGAGGACGCCGAGGACGAGCTGCTCTTTGCCACCGAAATGTCGCTTTTCGGGAAACTCCGGGCCCTGAAGGCCAAGGTAAGGGGGGGGGCGAGGGGGCACAGCCCGGGAGGAGCTGCCGGAGGAGCCGCAGCAGGGGAGGGGCTTGGGGGGTGCCCCGGGCCTCAGTTCCCCCCCGGAGGGTCTCCATGTCTCAGTTTCCCCCCACAGGCTGTTCCCGTGCCTCAGTGTCCCCACCCTGGGGGTCTCTGTGCCTCAGTGTCCTCACCCTGGGGGGGGAATGTCTCTGTGCCTCAGTTTCCCCATCACCAGAGGCCTCCATGCCCCAGATTCCCCACTGGGGGGTCTTTGTGCCTCACTTTGTGCCCCCTGCTTTGGGGGTCTCAGTGCCTCCGTTTCTCCACTGGGGGGGGCGATCCCGTGCCTCAGTGTCCCCACCCTGGGGGTCTCAGTTTCCCCCTGGGGGGGAATCCCGTGCCTCAGTTTCCCCTCTCTGGCGGGTCTCTGTGCCTCAGTGTCCCCACGGGGGGGTCCCCGTGCCCCAGTTTCCCCCCCGCAGGCTGTCCCCGTGCCTCAGTGTCCCCACCCCACAGCGGATGCCGGACGGGTTCGACTCGGTGCCACTCAAGAGCTCGTCCAGCAGCACCGACCGGGAGCTGTGACGGGGCAGGGGGGG